TTTTAAAGTAATTTTTAACTAAGATTTCATTTAATATAATTGTAATTTTGAGTTTTTAGTTTTGATTTTTAAAACTTAAACAATCAAAATTAATAATTTAAAACTAAAATAAAAAATTAAAATTGCTAATTTATTAGATTTAAAATTTTAAACAAATATTGTCAACAATCTAAATAGTTTAGCGATCATTTTTTTTTTTTGAAATTAAGAATTTTTGGTTTTGATTGTTTGCCTTTTGGTTGTTTTGGGTTAAGGGTTGAAAGTTGTTTTTTTCTCTTTTTGCACCCAGGTTAAAAAAAATTTTAACCAATTCTTAAAACTTTTAATTTTATTTAATTTTTGGACTTTTTTATTTTTTTTTTTTGTTTTTAAAATTTTAAAAATAAAAACTGAAAATCATAATCATATTAAACAAAATTTAAGTTTTGAAAAAAATTACATGTTACCAGAAATTATTTATGGGTTTTTCTATACAAATTAAAGTTATATTAATTATGTGTTTTTCTTCTTAGTTGTTATAAAAAAATTAACTTTAATTTTATTAATAACTTAGTTAAAAATAGGACATGTATTATCAATATTAAAATTAAAATTATTTTATATAAATTAATAAAAAAATACAATTAATACATTTTTACTTATACTTTAATAAGGTACATATTACATAACCCTATTATTTATTAGGCCAAAATTTTCGTATGGGAGACTCGGACTCCCACTAGTTTGGCAAGAAGTCATAATCCCAATTTTCTTTTATTCTCTTTAACGCTTAATTAGTCTCCAAAGACTCTTCTCTAAAATTCATTAGCCATTTTTTAAAATCCTAGTTTTTGGGGTTAATTAGGATCAAATATTAACATCAATTCGAATATCTTCGTGCATACATTACACGTCACTGTTGAGTGTCGACTTAAATCCATGTCACTCCATTGCAAAAATGATCTTGATTAAAAAACAATGTTCTTTTTTTTTAACAATGTTATCATGGATGGACTCAAACTCACCAAAAAAAAAAAAAAAAAATTGCATTTTAAGGTGATCGGAGGGCAGGTTAGGTCAAAAAAACAATGTTTTGTAGACAATATTTTCATATGATATGACGTGGGAGTTCGTACTGTCTCCACAATACTAGTTCTAGCTCTATGTTATTTGGTGGCAGCATGAATAGATAAATATTTACTTTTTAAACTTTAGATAATATGGTTGTTGTTTTAAATTTTAAATTTTAATTTTTAAGTTTTAAATAATTAAATTAATAATTGAAAATTAAAATTATTAATTAAAGAAAAAAAAATACACAAAAAGAGGATAAATGTCATTATATAAGTCAATAAGCTGCAGAAAAAGCTCAACAAAAGTCATGTTAAAGGATAGTTATATGGGAATAATTTTTTATATAATTTTTATATATCAATAAATGAATAAATATATGTACTATTATGAATTTTAAATAAATAAAAAAATTAATAATTTAAGTTATATGTATAATTTATTAAAAATAATACAAAAAATTTATTTTTAAACGATTTTTCTTCAAGTAATTGTTCTGTTTTT